TTTCTTACTTTGATTTGAATCTTGAAATCTTATAAAAGAGGTGGATGTATTTATTTATGGAAATGTTTGATGTTTTCCTTTCCTTTAAGCCTTTCTATTTCAGTCCAAGTATATTTTTAGTGAGGCTTTATTATTTTTAAGTTCACAGTCTTTAACAACATTATTAATATACCCTCCTAAGTGCACAATATCCTTTTATAGTCACACTGTCTGGTAATTTTATATCTGACATTCATATGCATAGTTTGAAAATTGCTATGGAAATTATCCTATTATTGTAAGAGGTGTTATTCCATGTAACCCACATCAACCTTTGTTCTTTATGACTGTTTTTACCAAGCTACCTCCAGCCTATTAGTAACCGTATAACCTCCAGTTAACCTCCCCTGAAACTCATTCTCTTTTGTCTTAACTCAGGTTTGTTTCTGATTTCTCTTTACCTGCCTGATTATTTTATTCTTTATATCCTTTGAAAGAGAAAAGAGGGGGGTGGGAAAATGAAAAGAGAAGAAGAGAGAAAATATACAATGGAAAATGAAACTAACCAAAAACACTCTTACAGAACACAGACACATTTTATCTAAGTGTTTTTAGAAAAATTCAGAATAAAAATGCCAGGTCCTATATCTTAGGAAAATGCAATGACCACTAGGTTAAAAGGAAATAATTTTTCTTTTTGAGGTTATTTTCAGATGATTGTCAAACATTGAAAGACATATCTAACTTGTCAGATTTAGCAAGATGAAAGGACTCTATTTTGTTATTAGTATATAATTTCAAGGCTAACAAAATTTTAAATTAGAAAGTTTTTTAGAATTAAATCTTGCTTCATTTTAGAACATATTTAGGTCTAGTTAGTTGTAATTTTTTATTGATTTTTATTGAGCTCTACATTTTTCTCTGCTCCCCTCCCTTCCTACCCCTCCCCTTCAACCCTCCTCCAAGGACCTCATGTGCTCAGTATGTTCATAGCAGTATTGTTTGTCATAGCCAAAACCTGGAAACACCTAAATGCCCCTTGACCAAAGAATGGATAAGGAAAATGTGGTGAATATAAACAATGGAGTACTACACAGCAGAAAAAAAATAATGACATCTTGAAATTTTGCAAGAAAATGGATGGAGCTAGAAAACATCATTTTGAGTGAGGTTACCCAGACACAGAAAGACAAGTGTCACATGTACTCACTCTTAAGTGGTTTTTAAATATAAAGCAAAGAAAATCAGCCCACAAATTACAATCCCAGAGAATGTAGACAACAATGAGGACACTAAGAGAGACATACATAGATCAAATCTACATGGAAAATAGAAACTTTTGAAACATGTTAAGAATTTACAGTTTTATTACTTTCCTGATATTCTTATCTTAATTATATTAATGTGCTACAAAAAATCTGAAATAATGTACACTTAAATTAGGTAAATAAAAATAATGTTCATAAACTCAGATCAATGAGTTACTATTAATTAAAAGTATTAAGCCATATTGTTGGCACTTTAATTTGGAAATAGCTAGTACAAATTTGAAAATGTATAGTATAATGAATGTAAACACTCAATAAAAATTAAGTTATTTTTTAATTGCTGAGAATACATATACTTCAAGTAAATGTTATAAAGGAATTGCAATTGTAAGCATATTTTCATGAACATATACTCAAAATATTTATAATATGTATACATTAAGCCAAACAGAAAATTCTGTATGATTATTAATTTCACTTGCACATACAACCTTAGTACCATAGTCATTTCAAGTCTCAAGTTATTTTTTCTTGAAATCATAACTAAGTTTTTACTTACTTTTCTAGCATTTGAAAATTCCACAACACATTTTGATTCTTATTAGAGCTCTTTGGAGACTGCATTTGTGTGGGTTTCTGTTCTTGTGATAAAACATAATGATCACGCCGGGCAGTGGTGGCGCACGCCTTTAACCCCAGCACTTGGGAGGCAGAGGCAGGCGGATCTCTGTGAGTTTGAGGCCAGCCTGGTCTACAAGAGCTAGTTCCAGGACAGGAACCAAAAAGCTACGGGGAAACCCTGTCTCAAAAATCAAAAAACAAAACAAAACAACAACAACAACAACAAAACAAACCATAATGATCAAAAGCAATGTAGGGTAGAAAGGGTTTCTTTCAGCTTCTAGTTGTACACTACAGTCTATCATTGAGGGAAGTCAGGAAAGAAACTTAAACAAGACAATGGCCCTGTGCCAACAGCAAATGGATTACTGCTGCTTACAGACTTGCTCATCATGGCTTGCTTAGCCTGCCCACAATAAGTTGGGCCCTCCCACATCAATCATCAATCAAGAAAAAAGCACCAAATCCTGATTCACAAGACAGTCTGGAGAGGATATTTTTCTAGATTGAAGGGAACTCTTTATAAATGATTCTAGCTTGTGTCAGGCTGACATAAAACTAGAAAAAAAGCCCTTGAATCACCTTTATTTTTGTCAAGTTATTACTTTTTTAATAGCTCTAAATTGTTGCTCCGGTGACTGAAGTGTCTACTGTTGGCATAATTTGCTTTGTGGCTCTGCCTTGTCCTTATTTCTTAGCAAGAATGAGTCTAGCAGTAGTAATAGATTTATCGATTCGATCTCTGACATCTTTTCAGCATTCAAATTTTACAACCAATTTAACACACTGCCCAAAATTAACATTCGCAGACTAGATATTAAAAGGGGGATTAAGAACATTAATCTTTCCAGGTGAGATTATAATTAAGAGTTGGAATCAGAAGAGGAAGCTGGCTGTTTGCATGTCACACCTTAGCTATCATGCTTTCTCCTTATTCACGTGTATGGCTTCATCTGCTGTTTGCAGACAGTTGACATTTTACTTCATTGTGATTCACAAGTTTCATTCTAGCATGTCGTATGGAAACTATGCAAGGCTCATAGAGATAGAATACTGTGTTTTCTACTCCTTATGGGTGTATTTTCATTGATTGACAGGTGGGAACTCGTCCACTGTCTCAAAATGAAAACCTACAATCTGTCCTTAATGACAAGGTTCCTGTGCTGTGCTTCTTTAAATGACCGCTAAGTCTTATCATTTTTAACGTCCACCCAATGTACTAGTTTGCTGAAATATGCCAGGATTGATGTAAACGCTAAGTTTAGAGTGACCCTGGTCAAATACCATTTCTCGGTATCCACTGCACCACATTCCTGTGCAGGAACAATTTAGGATGTTCCAGGGAATGCATGCCTGCTCCATCCTCTATAAGCCTGACCAGAAACAGGCATTAAGAGTCGCCACTAAGGGCTAGGAATAGCATTAAAAAATCTACCCCAGTGATCTATTTTCACTAGCTAGACCCTAATTTCTAGTGCCGCAACAGGAGCCATTGTAATGGAGAGAAACTCAAAGCGATCCCACTAATATAGGAACTAGACAAGGTTGTCCACTCTCTCTGTATCTGTTTAATACAGTTTTGATGTTCTAGATTGAACAATAAAACAACAAATGGAGAGCAAGAGGATACAAATTGGAAAAGAAGAAGTCAAACTCTCATTATTTGCAGATGATATGATAGTACACTCTAGAACACTGTAGATTCATATTGCAAGTCAATTTCCTTTTTATGTTTAATGTGATTATTTTAGGATAAGGTCATTAGGATAAGGGCATTCCATCCTGGTTTTTAAAAACTTGCATACTATGTTACTCTTCAGTGAAACACTCTGATACTTATAGAATCAAAAGTATACTTCTGATTTACTGTGGCCTATTAAGTAGCTGTTGCAGAAACAAAATATATTGTTTTTTCTTTAATGTTAATGATTTTACAGAAGCATGGTTTGCGATATTATTCACGATAGTAGTTAAATTCATTTGTAAGATAAAAATTGTAATGTATTCTTACTATCTATCTATCTAAATAACTTTTGAAAACTAAAATCAGTATTGTTTATACAAAAGAGGTTGTGAAATGAGGCAAAGCAGTGCAAAGCATATATATTTGAAATAACAGGGAACAAACAAAACAACAACAACAGAAATCGACAGTTTTATTATTCTGATTCAAAGTTAAAAGAAAATAAAGTGTACATGAATCAGGTCTCAAGCGTCTCTAGGTACAAGTTTGATTAAGACATAAAACACTTCCATTCTGTCCCACACTGTAGTAGAAATTCCCTACACAGCTCAGCTGGAGTGAATTTGAGCCTTCACTAAGTATGTAAATATCTGTTTCCTAGTGATAGAGCGAATGGTCACCCGAAAGTTAAATGTAGTCAGGGAGAGTCATGGCAAAACAGTTGTATTCTTGTTGCTATTGTACAATTGGCTGTTAACAGTTTGTAAGAGCCACACAAGCTACATCACTGATTTCTGTGATGAGAACGACTGGCCTTTCTGTAGACTTTTTTGGAGGATATTTCTTAAAACATTTAAGGGTTTTTTTTGTGGATCTAGAAAGTGTTTTGGTAAATAACTACTTGAATCCAATTCATATTTTTTTGGAGTTTAACCTGTGACCTTTTCCCTTAGAGAATCTTTTTTTTTAAAACATATTTTACATCTCAACCACAGTTTCCTCTCCCTCCTCTCCTTCCAGTCCCTCACCAGCACCTCCCCTCTGCCACTCCAAACCCTCAATCTTTTCTGCCTCTATTTATATTCAGAAAAGGGCAGACCTTTCATGGCTTTCAACAAAACATGGCACATGAAGTTGCAGTAAGATTAAGCACTTGGCTTTTTTACTTAGGCTTGGCAAGGCAACCCAATATGAGGAATAGATATGGAAAAGGCAGGAAAGGAGTCAAAGACAGTTCTTCCTCCCAGTATTAGGTATCCCACAAAAAGACAAAACTATATAACTGTCACATACATGCCACAGGCCCTAGATCAGTTTCATGCAGGCTCCCTGGTTGTCAGTTCAGAATCTGTGAGCAGCTATATGCTTAACTTGGTTGATTCTTGACTTTTCTTGTGGTGTCCTTGACCTTTCTGATTCCTACAATCCTTCCCCCCTGTCTTCCACAGAACTCCTCTAGTTCTGCCGAATGTTTGGCTGTGGGTCTCTGCATCTGATTCCATAAGCTGTGGGATGAAGCCTCTCTGATGACACCAGGACTAAGCACCAATCTAAGAGTATGGCAGAATACCATTAAGCATCTTTACATTTTCATTTTTATTTTGTCATTCCTGTAAGGTTCTAGTTGACCCAGCCTCTCGTTTCTGGTGTTACAGGCAGTGTCAGCAAATGGGCACATTCTTGTGGCATGGGTTTGTGGCTGAACTAGTGTATGGCCATTCTCTCCTACAATTTTGCACCAGCACAATCCATAGGCAGGACAGACTATAGGTTTGACTAAGGTTATCTAGCTGGTTTGTTATCCCAATCTTTCCCCTAGAAGGCTCCCTGGACAATAGAGACGGTCAGTTCAAGCTATGTATCCCCTTCTGCTTGGAGTCTTAGCTTAGCTCATCCTTGGTGATTCTTGAGAGATTCCCTTGAAGGTCTACATCACCCCAGATGCACTCCCTTTCCAGTCATCTCTTTCAGTACTCTCCATCGGTGTTCTTCCACATCTGATCCCTCGTGTTCCCATTTTCTTGTGTATGTTGACACTTTCTTTGTGACCAAGTATGTGGTCAATTTTGGAGAATGTTTTTGTGAAGTGCTTCAAGGAATGTGTGTTCTTTTTGTGTTTGAGTGACATTGTCTGTAAATATCTCTTAGGTCCATTTGGGTCATAACATTGATTAGCTCTAGTTTTTCTCTGTTTCCTTTTTGTCTGGAAGATCTGTCCATTGGTATGAGTGGGTTATTGATGTCTCCCACAATTAATGTGTGAGGTTTGATGTGTTGGTTAAGCTTTAGTAGTATTTCCTTTGCATATCTAAGTTTGGGCTTAGAGGAAGAGAACTGAGACATCACTCTGGTGGATATTTTTTCTTTGGTGAATATGAAGTGCCCTCCCCCATCTCTTTTGATTAATTTTATTTGATGTCTATTTTGTTATATATTAGAATAGCTTCACTGGCTTGTTACTTTGTGCTATTTGCACAAATCTTTTTTTAACCCCTTATCCTGAGGTCATATCTATCTCTGATGTTAAGGTGTGTTTCTTGTATGCAGTAGAATGATGGATCTTGTTTTCAAGTTCATTCTGTTAGTCTTTTTATTGGGGAATTGAGTTCATTGTTATTTCCAATGATTTTTAATTCCTGTTGTTTTGTTGTAATTGTTGATGGTGTTATTCTCTCTCTCTCACACCCCCATGTGTTCTTCTTTGTTGTTGACGCAAGATTATTTATTGTAGGGATTGATTTATGAACAGGTATTGTTTATCTTTGACTTTATCATGGAATATCTTGTTTCTCTGTCTATAGTGACTGAAAGTTTTTCTGATTAGAGTATTCCAGACTGGTGCCTGTTTTCTCCTATAGTCTGTAGCACAGCTGTTCAGGCCCCTTTCACATTTAAAATCTCCGTTGAGAAGTTGGTAATTCTAAAAGATCTTCTTTTATATGTTATCTGGCCTTTTTCTCTTGCACTTTTAATATTTCTTATTTCTTCTGTGCTTTTAGTATTTCTTATTCTGTGCATCTCATGATTTGATTATTATGTGACAAGGGTTTTTCTTTTCTGCACCAATCTATTTGGTGTTTTGTAAGCATATTGCACCTTTATAGGCATGTCCTCCTTAGGTTAGGAACATTTTCTTCTAACATTTTGTTAATTTTTTTTTCTGGGCCTTTAAATGGGATTTTTTTCTCCTTCCTTTATTCTTACTATTCTTAGACTTGGTCTTTTATAGTGTTCGAGAATGTTTTGTGTCAGCAATTTTTTTTAGATTTAACAATTTTTTATCGATGAATCTATTTCTTCTATTGTAAAATTAATGCCTAGGATTCTGTCTTCCATCTCTCGTATTCTGTTGGCGACGGTTGCATCAGTAGCTTCTGTTAGCTTACCTAGATTTTTCATATCCAGAATCTCACAGTTTATGTGTTTTGTTGTTGTTGTTGTTGTTGCTTCAGTTTCCATTTTCAAGTAATGAACAGATTTATCCATTTCCTTCAGTAGTTTGTGTTTTTTTTTCCCCCTTTGGCTTTCTTGACGTTCTCTAAGGGTTATTGAGTCCCTCCAATTTTTAAATTGTCCATTCCATGATTTTTCTAACAGATTTATTCATTTCCTCCATGGGACTTCTATAATCATCATAAAGTTAGTTTTAAGGTTGCTTTTTTTTTTTTTTTTTTTTGCTTTAGCTGTGTTGGATTATTTATGGCTTGCTGCAGTGGGATTGCTTGACTCTGGTGGTGTCATATCTACTGACTATTGTTCATTTTCTTACATTTAGACAGCTGAATTTGGAGTGGATATCATTATGCATGCCAATTTTTGGATTTGTCTTTGTTAGTTTGAGTTTTCCTTCCTTGGTTTCTGTTTCCTCTCTTGTCTTCTGGCTGCCATTGACTGTTATTGTGTAGAGTGACTGCTTACGTTTAGGGATGAACATCTAATTGCCTGAATAGCCTCTCGTTCAGCAGAGTGTTGAAGCCCAATTTGGGGCTGCAATTCTCACTATATCTGCTCTGTCCAGGGGTACTCTTGTGTTTAGGGTCCTGAAGGTTAAGACTTACAGGCTTAGACAGGGCAGGAGATGGTGGAGGGATAGCATACCTGGTTTAAAAGAGCTGGCCTGGTCTCTGATGGACTAGGACGCTTCTGCCAGACGTGTGGGCTACAATATGGTGATGCGGTGAGGAGGAGCAGTTGGAGTTATGCTGGGAGAGCAAAGGCTGGTCAGGGGACAGTCGTACATGGGCTTCATTATGCTGGCCTGGCCTCTGATGGGAGAGGAGGTTTCTCCCAGGATATGGTTAGAGAATCATTTTTGTTCCTTTTTAGTTTCTTCATTAGAAATATTTAGCCATAAAAATAAAAATAATAAGAATAAAATAAAAATTAAACAAAATAAATAAATATAACTGATATCACCATGTACCAAAATGTCAGTTACTTAGAATCTCCCTAAGGCTGCTTTAGTTTTACTAATTTATTTCTTGTTATTTCAGGTACACTACCTGCTCTGTTTTCATGGTCTGACAGTGACAGGGATATAGGTTGAGGCTTTCTTCCAGGATTCTGCTCAGTTAATGGAAAAATTCTGGTCGTAATGCTGGCAGCATCTTTCCTGTGTGTATGACTTTTAAACATCTAGAGGGCTATACTTCACTGGGCAATCTACTATTAGTCAAACTTATTGAATAAATTTGCAGGGTCAGCCATCACTAAATGCACACACAGACAAAATTAGTTGATGTTGCTGTTTTAAAAAAAGAATCACAAGCACAATTGTCTGTAACTACCTCCTAGAGAGTTCACATGAACAGCTCAAACAAATCTGTAATGCAAACAGAAAGAATTGGGAAAATTATAATCACTAAGCAAAAGTTATAACTGTGACTCATGTAGACAGATCATCTTAATGAGTGCAAGATTCTAAAAAAAGAGAAACGTGCATTTTACCACTTCAAATAATGATGAAAAATCACTATCAACTATGAAATGTAATTTAGAAAAGAAGAATTGAATTGAATACATTTTATGATGCTTATAAAAGTGGACATGTCTGTTCATTCTCAATTACCATATATAATCAAGCATTATCTTAATTCTTTATTCATAAATAGTATGCATTCATAAATACCATAAATGCTATTCTTCATTTTAGAAGAATCCATCCATCAAGCCTACTGGATGAGGTTTGGGAAGCATGCAGATTTTGCTGCTGACTTCTGTAATAATAATAATAATAAATCTTGAGCTAGTTCCAGGATAGGCTCCAAAGCTACAGAGAAATCCTGTTTCAAAACACAAAAAAAAAAAAACAAAACAAAAATCTCATGAGCTTTTGGATTCTAATATTCTTAACTCAGTTGAGAGTCTGAGTATTTTAAATAAGAGACATTCTTATCGCTGTGAAAAACTGGATCTTTAATTTTAATGGCTCTATCAAAAATTCATCAACTAAGTTGTTTTTTTGAGGTCTTTTAAACATTAATTTCTTAACCAATGATTTTAAGAATCCATCTATTTGGGTTTTATAAAGAACCATTTAGTTCAATCCATGGAACAGCCCTTAATTCACATATGGCATCAGCTGAAAAGAAATCTTAATTGTGTTTTCAAATCTAGAACTGGGATTCAACATTGAGATTCCTTTCATTAATTAATCAAACATTAAATTATATCATAATTCTATGTGTTACCTGTCATCAGTTATTAAAACAATTTCTTATGAAATAAAAAAGAATACTTGAGTGAGAACATTTGCAATTTCAGCATTTCTTACCTGTATTAATAGTTCTTCCACATACTCTGATTTACATAGGATATGGCATCTATTAAGCTGAAGATATTCTTTCCAGTTTATGCACCCTACTTTTAGTTCAGCAGAATAGAGAAAAATTAACAACTCCAAGAAGTATAAAGGGCATTAAAAGACTTTGATCTAAATATAGCAATTATCTTAAAGTATTAAATATTGTAAACATCACAATTTATCATGGAACAGTTAGCAAAAACAGCTTTATAATCAATCATGTGAACAATGTCTCATTTAAATATATAATTTTCTGGGTCTGGAGAGTTAAGAGGACTGGTGTTTTTCCTATAATCTTTCAGGGGGCCTGTGTTTTTTTCTCATACCCATGTGGAAACTCATAATTATATATAACTTCAGTCTGAGGATTATCACTCTTTTCTTGTTCCTGCATTAATGAGGTATACATCCATCCAGGTACTCATATATATGAAATAAAAATAAATAAAATATCAGATAATTGAAAAGATAGAGTATTCTGGAGGAATTAATGTCAAAATAATTACTGAGACCAAAATACATGAAATATTTGATTTTAAATATGGAAATAATATTCCTAAAATCTATTATTCTTCTCATAAAATATTCTGTCATATTGAATATTATAGCTAATTGAACATTTAAGAAACAAAGGCTAATCTCTTTCTAACAAAAAAACAGTACGGGAGGGAACACACCGTAATTTGTCTTTATGATATCATAATAATCTTGATTTTACTACCAGACAAGTACATTAGTAGGATGGAGAAGTGG